CTCCATCCGGTCTCTGGGCTCCATCCGAGCCCCTAATGCTCTATCTCACTCTCTGGGCTCCATCCAAGTCTCTGGGTTCCATCCGGATTCCTAAGGCTCCATCCGGGTCTCTGGGCTCCATTTGAGCCCCTAAGGCTCTATCTCACTCTCTGGGCTCCATCCAAGTCTCTAGGCTCCATCCGGATCTCTGGGCTCCATCCAAGTCTCTGGGCTCCATCCGGGTCTCTGGGCTCCATCCGGGTCTCTGGGCTCCATCCAAGTCTCTGGACTCCATCGGAGTCTCTGGGCTTCACCCGGGTTCCAGGGCCACATCCGGGTCTCCAGGGCCACATCCGGATGCTCAGGGCCACATCCAGGTCTCTAGGGTTCTCTCCATGGCCACATCCGGGTCTCCAGGGCACCATCCGGGTCTCCAGGGTCACTCTGGGTCTCCAGGGCCCAATACGGGATCCCAGGGCCACATCCGGGTCCCCAGAGTCACATGGGGCTCTCTAGGGCCACACCCGGGTCTCTAGGGCCACATCCAGGTCCCTAGGGCCACTTCCGTGCCTCCAGGTCCACACCCGGGTCTCCAGAGCCACATCCGGGTCTCCATCGCTACATCCGGGTCTCCCAGGGCTCCATCCGGGTCCCCCAGGTCCACATCCGGGTTCCCAAGTCCACATCCGGGTCTCCCAGGGCTCCATCCAGGTCCACATAAGGTCTCCAGGGCCACATCCGGTTCTCCCAGGGCCACATCCGGGTTCCCAGGTCCACACCCGGGTCCCAGGGCCACATCCAGGTCCCTAGGGCCACATCCGGGTCTCCAGGGCCGCAACCGGCTCTCCAGGGACACATCTCGATCCCCCAGGGCCACATCCGGGTCTCCAGGGCTCACTCAAGGGCCACATCTTGGTCCCAGGGCTCCACCCAGGTCTCCAGGGCCACATCCGGGTCTCCTGGGCCACATCCGGATCTCAAGGGCTACATTGGGGTCTCCAGGGCCACATCCGGGTCTCCAGGGCCACATCCAGGTCTTCAGGGCTCCCTCCAGGGCCACTTCTGTGCCCCAAGGCTCCACCCGGTTCTCCACGGACACATCCGGGTCCCCAGGGCCACATCCAGGTCTCCCAGGGCTCCACTCGGTTCCCCAGGTCCACACCTGGGTCTCCAGTGCCCCATCGGGTCTCCAGGGCCACATCCAGGTCTCCAGGGCCACATCCAGGTCTCCAGGGCCACATCCGGGTCCCCAGGGCCACATCCTGGGTCCCCAGGGCCACATCTGGGTCTCCCAGGGCTCCACCTGGGTCCCCAGGGCCACATCCAGGTCCCCCAGGGCCACATCTAGGTCTTCCAGGGCTCCACCTGGGTCCCCAGGGCCACATCCGCATCCCCAGGGCCCCACCCAGGTTTCCAGGGCCACACCAGGGTCTCCAGGTCCACACTCTGGTCTCCAGTGCCCCATTGGGTCCTCAGGGTCACATCCAGGTCTCCAGGGACACATCCGGGTCCCCAGGGCCATATCCGGGTACCCAGGGCCACATCCCAGTGTCCAGAGCCACATACAGGTCTCCCAGGGTCACATCAGGGTGTCTAGCGCCACATCCGGATCTCCAGGGCTACATCCAGGTCTCCAGGGCCACATCCGGATCTCCAGGGTGACATCTGGGTCTCATGGGCCACATCCGGGTCTGCAGAGCCACGTCCTGGTCTCCAGGGCCACATCTGGGTCTCTAGGTCCACATCCGGGTTTCTAGGGACACATATGGGTCTCCAGAGCTACATGCAGGGCCCCACCCCGGTCTCCAGGGCCACATTGGGGTATCCAGGGCCACATCCAGGTCCCCAGGGCCACATTGTGGTATCCCAGGGCCACATCCGGGTCTCCAGGGCCACAACCGGATTTCAAGGGCCACATTCGGTCCCCAGAGTCACATCCATGTCCCTAGGGCACCATCCGGCTCTCCAGGGCCACACCCGGGTCTCCAGGGCCACTTCCGGCCCCAGGGCAATATCTGATTTTCTAGAGCCACATCAGGGATCCCAGGGTCACATCTGGGTGACTAGGGCCACATCCGGATCTCCAGGGCCGCATCCGGGTCTCTAGGGTACCATCCGGGTCTCCAGGACCACAGCCGGTTCTCTAGGGTTCCCTCCAGGTCCCCACCCATGTAACCAGGGCCACATCGGGGTCTCCAGGGCCACATCGGGGTCTCCAGGGCCTCACCCATGTCTCCAGGGCCACACCCGGATCTCCAGGGCCACATCCAGGTCTCTAGGGCTCCATCTGGGTCTCCAGGAACACATCTGGGTCTCTAGGGCCACATCCGAGTCACCAAGGCTCCCTCCAGGGCCCCACCCGGGTCTCCAGGGCCACATCGGGGTCTCAGGGGCACACTCGGGTCTCCAGGGCCACATCCGGGTCCCCAGGGCCACATCCGGATGTCTAGTGTCACATCCGGATCCCCAGGGCTCCATCCAGGTTTCCAGGGCCACATCTCGATCCCAGGGCTCCACCCGGGTCTCCAGGGCCACATCCGGGTCTCCAGGGCCACATCTGGGTCTTTAGGGATCCCTACAGGGCCACATCCGGGACCCCAGGGCCACATCCGGGTCTCTAGGGCCACATCCGGGTCTCCTAGGGCTCCACCCGGGTTTCTAGGGACACATCCGGATCCCCAGGTCCACATCCGCGTCCCCAGGGCCACACCTGAGTCTCCAGGGCCACACCCGGGTCTCCAGTGCCCCATCGGGTCCTCAGGGCCACATCCGGGTCTCCATGGCCACATCCAGGTCCCCAGGGCTCCTTCCGGGTCTCCAGGGCCACATCCCCGTCTCTAGGGCCACATCCGGATCCCCAGGGCTCCATCTGGGTGTCCAGGGCCACATCCAGGTCTCCATGGCAATATCCAAGTCTCCAGGGACACATCAATGTCTTAGGGCCATATCTGGTGCTTCAGGGCCACGTCCTGGTCTCCAGGGCCACATCCGGGTCTTCAGGGCGCCATCCAGGGCCACTTCTGTGTCCCAGGGCTCCAAACCGGTTCTCCAGGGGCACATTTGTGTCTCCAGGGCCACATCTGGGTCCCCAGGGCCACATCCAGGTCTCCCACGGCTCCAACCGGGTCCCCAGGGCCACATCCGCGTCCCCAGGGCCCCACCTGGGTCTCCAGGGCCACATCGGGGTCTCCAGTGCCCCATCAGGTCCCCAGGGCCACATCCGGGTCCCCTGGCCACACCCGAGTCCCCAGGGCTCCACCCGGGTCTCTAGGGACACATCCGGGTACCCAGGGCTCCTTCTGGGTCTCCAGGGCTACATCCCCATCTCTAGGGCCACATCCGGGTCTCCAGGGCCACATCCGGGTCCCCAGGGCCACATCCGGGTCCCCCAGGGCCACATCCGGGTCTCCAGGGCCACATCAGGGTCCCCAGGGCAGCATCCGAGTCCCCAGGGCTCCATCTGGGTGTCCAGGGCCACATCCAGGTCTCCATGGCCAGATCTGAGTCTCCAGGGACACATCGGGGTCTTAGGGCCATATCCGGTTCCTCAGGGCCACATCTGGGTCTCTGGGCTCCATCCGGGTTTCTGGGCTCCATCCGAGTCTCTGGGCTCCATCCGGGTCTTTGGGCTCCATCTGGGTCTGGGCTCCATTTAGGTCCCTGGGCTCCATTCAGGTCTCTGGGCCACATCCGGGTCTCTGGGCTCAACCCGGGTCTCCGGGCCACATCCAGATCTCCAGGGGCACATCCAGGTCTCCAGGGCCACATCCAGGTCTCCAAGGGCCACATTCGGTCCCCAGAGTCACATCCATGTCCCTAGGGCACCATCCGGATCTCCAGGACCACATCCGGGTCTCCAGTGCCACATCCGGGTCTCTAGGGCCACAACTGGGTCTCCAGGGCTCCCTCCAGGGCCCCCACCCGTGTCTCCAGGGCCACATAGGGGTCTCAGGGGCACACCCAGGTCTCTAGGGCCACATAGGGGTCTCAGGGGCAAACCCGGGTCTCTAGGGCCACATCAGGGTCTCCAGGGCCACATCCGGATCTCCAGGGCCACATCCGGGTCTCCACGGTCATATCAGGTCCCCAGGGCTCCATCCAGGTTTCCAGGGCCACATCCTGGTCCCCATGTAAAAATCCGGGTCTCCAGGGCCACATCTGAATCCCAGGGCTACACCTGGGTCTCCAGGGCCACATCTGGGTCTCCAGGACCGCATCCGGGTTTCCCAGGGCCACATCCGGGTCTCCATGGCCACATCCAGGTCCCCAGGGCTCCTTCCGGGTCTCCAGGGCCACATCCCCGTCTCTAGGGCCACATCCGGATCCCCAGGGCTCCATCTGGGTGTCCAGGGCCACATCCAGGTCTCCATGGCAATATCCAAGTCTCCAGGGACACATCAATGTCTTAGGGCCATATCTGGTGCTTCAGGGCCACGTCCTGGTCTCCAGGGCCACATCCGGGTCTTCAGGGCGCCATCCAGGGCCACTTCTGTGTCCCAGGGCTCCAACCGGTTCTCCAGGGGCACATTTGTGTCTCCAGGGCCACATCTGGGTCCCCAGGGCCACATCCAGGTCTCCCACGGCTCCAACCGGGTCCCCAGGGCCACATCCGCGTCCCCAGGGCCCCACCTGGGTCTCCAGGGCCACATCGGGGTCTCCAGTGCCCCATCAGGTCCCCAGGGCCACATCCGGGTCCCCTGGCCACACCCGAGTCCCCAGGGCTCCACCCGGGTCTCTAGGGACACATCCGGGTACCCAGGGCTCCTTCTGGGTCTCCAGGGCTACATCCCCATCTCTAGGGCCACATCCGGGTCTCCAGGGCCACATCCGGGTCCCCAGGGCCACATCCGGGTCCCCCAGGGCCACATCCGGGTCTCCAGGGCCACATCAGGGTCCCCAGGGCAGCATCCGAGTCCCCAGGGCTCCATCTGGGTGTCCAGGGCCACATCCAGGTCTCCATGGCCAGATCTGAGTCTCCAGGGACACATCGGGGTCTTAGGGCCATATCCGGTTCCTCAGGGCCACATCTGGGTCTCTGGGCTCCATCCGGGTTTCTGGGCTCCATCCGAGTCTCTGGGCTCCATCCGGGTCTTTGGGCTCCATCTGGGTCTGGGCTCCATTTAGGTCCCTGGGCTCCATTCAGGTCTCTGGGCCACATCCGGGTCTCTGGGCTCAACCCGGGTCTCCGGGCCACATCCAGATCTCCAGGGGCACATCCAGGTCTCCAGGGCCACATCCAGGTCTCCAAGGGCCACATTCGGTCCCCAGAGTCACATCCATGTCCCTAGGGCACCATCCGGATCTCCAGGACCACATCCGGGTCTCCAGTGCCACATCCGGGTCTCTAGGGCCACAACTGGGTCTCCAGGGCTCCCTCCAGGGCCCCACCCGTGTCTCCAGGGCCACATAGGGGTCTCAGGGGCACACCCAGGTCTCTAGGGCCACATAGGGGTCTCAGGGGCAAACCCGGGTCTCTAGGGCCACATCAGGGTCTCCAGGGCCACATCCGGATCTCCAGGGCCACATCCGGGTCTCCACGGTCATATCAGGTCCCCAGGGCTCCATCCAGGTTTCCAGGGCCACATCCTGGTCCCCATGTAAAAATCCGGGTCTCCAGGGCCACATCTGAATCCCAGGGCTACACCTGGGTCTCCAGGGCCACATCTGGGTCTCCAGGACCGCATCCGGGTTTCCCAGGGCCACATCCGAGTCTCCAGGGCCACATCTGGCTCCCCAGGGCTCCACCCGGCTCTCCACAGCCACATCCAGGTCTCCAGGGCTCCCTCCAGTGCTAAAACTGGGTCCCAGGGCTCCATCCAAATCTCTGGACTCCATCCAGGTCTCTGGGCTCCATCCGGGTCTCTGGGCTCCATCCTGATCCCTAAGACTCCATCCGGGTCCGCAGGGCCACATCCGGGTCTCCAGGGCCACATCCAGTTCCCCAGGGCTCCATCCGGGCCTCCAGGCCACATCCGGGTCCCCCAGGGCCACATCGTGGTGTCTAGGGCAACCTCCGGGTCTCCATGACCACATCTGGGTCTCCAGGGCTCCCTCCAGGGCCACATCTGCGTCCCAGGGCTCCACCCGGGTCCAGGGCTGCATCCGGGTCCCCAGAGCCACATCCAGGTCTTCATGGCCACATCTGGGTCCCCAGGGCCACATCGGTCTCCCAGGGCTCCACCTGGGTTTCCCAGGGCCACATCTGGGTCCCCAGGGCCACACCCAGGTCTCCAGGGCCACACCCGGGTCTCCAGGACCACACCAGCGTCCAGGGCCACATCCGGATCTCCAGGGCTCCCTCCAGGGCCATATCTGGGTCCCAGAGCTCCACCCGGGGCCCAAGGGCCACATCCGAGTCCCCATAGCCACTTTCCGGTTCTCCAGGGCCACTTCCGGGTCCCCAGGGCCACATCTGGGTCTTCAGGACCACATCCAGTTCTCTGGGATACATCTGGGTCTCTGGGCTCCATCCGAGTCTCTGGGCTCCATCCGGGTCTCTGGGCCACATCTGGGTCCCTAAGGTTCCATCCAGTCCCTAAGGCTCCATTCGGGTCTCTGGGCTCCATCCGGGTCCCTAAGGCTCGATCTGAGTCTATGGGCTCCATTCGAGTCTCTGGGCTCCATCCGGGTTTCTGGGCTTCATCCTGGTCTCTGGGCTCCATCCCGATCTGTAAGGCTCCATCCGGGTCCCTAAGGCTCCAACCGGGTCCGTAAGGCTCTATCCGGGTCCCTAAGGCACCATCTGGGTCTCTGGGCTCCATCCCAATCCCTAAGGCTCCATCCGGGTCCCTAAGGCTCCAACCGGGTCCGTAAGGCTCTATCCGGGTCCCTAAGGCACCATCTGGGTATCTGGGCTCCATCCCGATCCCTAAGGCTCCATCCGGGTCCCTAAGGCTCCAACCAGGTCCGTAAGGCTCTATCCGGGTCCCTAAGGCACCATCCGGGTCTCTGGGCTCCATCCAAGTCTCTGGGCTCCATCCGGTCCCTAAGGCTCCATTCGGGTCCCTAAGGCTCCATCCGAGTCTCTGGGCTCCATCCGGGTCTCTGGGCTCCATTAGGGTCCCTAAGGATCCATCCGGGACCCTAAGACTCCATCCGGGTTTCTGGGCTCCATCCAGGTCCCTAAGGCTCCATCCAGGTCCCTAAGGCTCCATTCTGGTAACTGGGCTCAATCCGGGTCGCTAAGGATCCATTCCGGTCTCTGTGCTCCACCCGGGTCTCCAGGGCCACATCTGGGTCACTGCACTCCATCTGGGTCTCTGGGCTCCATTAGAGTCTCTGGGCTCCATCCAGGTCTCTGGGCCCCATCCGAGTCTCTGGGCTCTATCCGGGTCTCTGGGCCACATCGGGCTCTCTGAGCTCCATCCGGGTCACTGGGCTCCATCCGGGTCTCTGGGCCACATCGGGGTCACTGGGCTCCATCCGGGTCTCTGGGCACCATTCGAATCTCTGGACTCCATCCGATGCTCTGGGCTCCATCCGGGTTCTTAAGGCTCCATCTTGTGTATAAGGCTCCCTCCGAGTCTCTAGGATCACTCCAGGTTCCTAAGGCTCCATCGAGGTCTCTGGGCTCCACCAGGGTCTCCGGGCCACATCCGAGTCCCCATTGCCACATCCGGGTCCCCAGGGCCACCTCCAGGTCTCTGGATTCCATCGGGTTCTCTGGGCTCCATCCGAGTCTCTGGGCTGCATCCGGGTCTCTTGGCTCCTTCCGGGTACCTAAGGCTCCATCCGAGTCTCTGACCTCCATCCGGGTCCCTAAGACTCCATCCGAATTCCTAACGCTCTATCTGGGTTCCTAAGGCTCCATCCGAGTCTATGGATTCCCTCCGGCTTACACAGAGCCGGGCGGGGATACTACACCTCCCCGAAGCCTCAGCGGCGCCGGCGACGCTCTACGTGTGGGCTGTACTGGCCTGAGTGACAGGTAGCCGACCCAATGGCTTCCCCGGTCTCAGACTCCGGACCACTCAGACGTGGGGTGGGTGTGTGCTTCCTGTTTCGGAGGCGTCTGCTCGGGGCGGAAATGGTGTGGAAAGGAACCGTGTTTCAACCCAGCTGTCTTCTTTCTCTTCTTTGAAAAAAAGCTGTGAGGCCTAATTTTCCTGACCTGAGCTATCATTTTCCTTTTATCATCTGTGGGCCATATTTCCTGGTTTCACATTGCCCAGCCACCCTCTGCTTGGACAGGGTGGACCGGGGAGACTACAACTCCCCAAAGCCTCAGCGGCAGGGCGCTCTGCGGCTGGGCTCGTCTGAGTGACAGGTCGGGCAGCCATTGGCTTCACGCGGTCTCAGACTCCGTTGCCAATCAGATGCTGAGTGGTTGTGTCGCCCTATTTCTGCGGCTCGGGGCGGAAATGGTGTGGAAAGGAACCGCCTCGAGCCACGCCCCTCGCGGCTCCTGACTGGACGCGGGAAGTGACGTCTGCGCGCACCACGCGGCAGTCGTCCCGCCCATGTCCAGCTCGGACCGGACGGGGCAGCTTCGGGTCTGTGTCCCGCACGTCCCTGGCAGCCCCTGAGCGGGCGCGTACCCGCCTGTCCGTCCGCCAGAACCTCGCCCTGTAGCTTGGCCCTGCCTGCCCTTGTCTGGGAGGAGGAACGCGCAGTAGGAGCCCAGAACCTGTCTTCTGCGACGCTGCCTGCCCGCGCCCAGCACGGGCGGGACAGGCCGGACTGTTCCTCCTCATCCAGCAGAGCCAGTCAGGGCCGGGCAGAGGGCGAGGTTCTGAACCGAGACCTGCGCCTCACTCGTCCAGGTAGGCCGGGCAGCCACCGGCGAGGAAGGAGGTGGCGTTCTGAGCGCGCACTGCAAAAAGTCATTAGCGGCAGTGCAGAGGGCGGGAGGAGGCGCCCTCCGGCAGCTTCCGGGTCGCGTTAGGGGCAGCAGGAGCGCTAAGGGGGTGGGGTTTAGGGGGGAGACTGACAGATTCCCGGTCCAATCAGGGGCAGGCAGGGGAGCTAAGGGGGTGGGTTTCTGGCGGGAGACTGACAGGATCCCGGTCCAGTCAGGGGCAGGCAGCACCGCCAAGGGGGTGGGGTTTAGGCGGGAGACTGACAGGTTCCCCGTCCAGTCAGGGGCAGAAGGAGCGCCAAGGGGGTGGGGTTTAGGCGGGAGAGTGACAGGATCCCCGTCCAGTCAGGGGCAGAAATAGCGCCAAGGGGGTGGGGTTTAGGCGGGAGAGTGACAGGTTCCCCGTCCACAGGGGCAGTAATAGCGCCAAGAGGGTGGGGTTTAGGCGGGAGACTGACAAGTTCCCCGTCCAGTCAGGTGCAGGAAGGGGAGCGCTAAAGGGGTGGGGTTTAGGCGGGAGACTGACAGGTTCCCCGTCCACTCAGGGGCAGAAGGAGCGCCGAGGGGGTGGGGTTTACTCTCTTTTCTTGAAAATAAAAGCTCTATGATCTAATTTTCCTGACCTAAGTTATCATTTTTCTTTTATCATCTGTGGGCCATATTCCCTGGTTTCACATTGTCCAGCCACGCTCGGCTTGCACAGAGCGGGGCGGGGAGACTACAACTCCCGGAAGCCTCAGCGGCGCCGGCGACGCTCTACGTGTGGGCTGTACTGGCCTGAGTGACAGGTAGCCGACCCAATGGCTTTCCCGGTCTCAGACTCCGAACCGCTCAGACGCGGGGTGGGTGTGTGCTTCCTGTTTCGGAGGCGTCTGCTCGGGGCGGAAATTCTATATGTAAGAGCTGAGAAAGCTTTCTTTTCTTTCAAAAAAAAAAAAAAAAAGCTCTGAGGCCTAATTTTCCTGACCTAAATGATCATTTTTCTTTTATCATCTGTGGGCCATATTCCCTGGTTTCACATTGTCCAGCCACCCTCTGCTTGGACAGGGTGGACCGGGAAGACTACAACTCCCCAAAGCCTCAGCGGCAGGGCGCTCTGCGGCTGGGCTCGTCTGAGTGACAGGTCGGGCAGCCATTGGCTTCACGCGGTCTCAGACTCCGTTGCCAATCAGATGCTGAGTGGTTGTGTCGCCCTGTTTCTGCGGCTCGGGGCGGAAATGGTGTGCAAAGGAACCGCCTCGAGCCACGCCCCTCGCGGCTCCTGACTGGACGCGGGAAGTGACGTCTGCGCGCACCACGCGGCAGTCGTCCCGCCCATGTCCAGCTCGGACCGGACGGGGCAGCTTCGGGTCTGGGTCCCGCACGTCCCTGGCAGCCCCTGAGCGGGCGCGTACCCGCCTGTCCGTCCGCCAGAACCTCGCCCTGTAGCTTGGCCCTGCCTGCCCTTGTCTGGGAGGAGGAATGCGCAGGAGGAGCCCAGAACCTGTCTTCTGCCACGCTGCCTGCCCGCGCCCAGCACGGGCGGGACAGGCCGGACTGTTCCTCCTCATCCAGCAGAGCCAGTCAGGGCCGGGCAGAGGGCGAGGTTCTGAACCGAGACCTGCGCCTCACTCGTCCAGGGAGGCCAGGCAGCCACCGGCGAGGAAGGAGGTGGCGTTCTGAGCGCGCACTGGAAAAAGTCATTAGCGGCAGTGCAGAGGGCGGGAGGAGGCGCCCTCCGGCAGCTTCCGGGTCGCGTTAGGGGCAGCAGGAGCGCTGAGGGGGTGGGGTGCTGGCGGGAGACTGACAGATTCCCCGTCCAGTCAGGGGCAGAAGGAGCGCCAAGGGGGTAGGGTGCTGGCGGGAGACTGACAGGATCCCGGTCCAGTCAGGGGCAGGCAGCACCGCCAAGGGGGTGGGGTTTAGGCGGGAGACTGACAGGTTCCCGGTCCAGTCAGGGGCAGAAGGAGCGCCAAGGGGGTGGGGTTTAGGCGGGAGAGTGACAGGATCCCGGTCCAATCAGGGGCAGGCAGCACCGCCAAGGGGGTGGGGTTTAGGCGGGAGACTGACAGGCTCCCCGTGCAGTCAGGGGCAGAAGGAGCGCCAAGGGGGTGGGGTGCTGGCGGGAGACTGACAGGATCCCGGTCCAGTCAGGGGCAGGCAGCACCGCCAAGGGGGTGGGGTTTAGGCGGGAGACTGACAGGTTCCGGGTCCAGGCAGGGGCAGGCAGGGGAGCTAGGGATGCGGGGTTCTGGTTGACGACGGGCAGCTTTTGGTCCGAGTCAGGAGCTGGAAGGGGAGCCAAGGAGGTGGGGTTCTGGCGGGAGACTGACAGGTTCCCCGTCCAGTCAGGGGCAGAAGGAGCGCCGAGGGGCTGGGGGTTTAGGCGGGAGACTGACAGGATCCCGGTCCAATCAGGGGCAGGCAGGGGAGCTAAGGGGGTGGGGTTCTGGCGGGAGACTGACAGGTTCCCGGTCCAGGCAGGGGCAGGCAGGGGAGCTAGGGATGCGGGGTTCTGGTTGACGACGGGCAGCTTTTGCTCCGAGTCAGGAGCTGGCAGGGGAGCCAAGGAGGTGGGGTTCTGGCGGGAGACTGACAGGGTCCCGTCCAGTCTGGGGCAGGCAGGACCGCCAAGGGGGTGGGGTTCTGGCGGCAGAGTGACAGTTTCCCGGTCCAGTTGTGGGCCGGCAGGGGAGCTAAGGCCTTGGGGTTTGGGCGCAGACTGACAGGTTCCTGGTCCAGTCAGGGGCAGGAAGGGGACCCAAGGAGGTGGGGTTCTGGCGGGAGACTGACAGGTTGCGGGTCCATCAGGGGCAGGCAAGGGAGCTAAGAACATGGGGTTATGACTGAAGATTGACAGGGTCCGGTCTAGTAAGGCCAGGCAGGGGAACAAAGGAGATATGGTTCTGACTGCAGACTTACATGTTCCTGGTCCTTATGGCCTGGCAGGGAGGCTAAGAGTGTGGGGTTCTGGCCTCAGACTCACAGGTTCCTGATCCACTCATGGGCAGGCAGGGGAGCAAAAAGTTGGTGTGATGGCCACAGACAGACAGGTTTCCAGTCCCATCAGGAGCAGTCTGCGGACCTAAGGATGTGGGGTTCCTGTTACAGATTGACATGTACAGTCAATGCTACTCAGCACAGCCACAGGAAGTTGGGTTCTGGGCACAGGCTGTCAGGTCTAGGTACCATCAGGGCCACACAGGGCAGCCTCAGGGAGTGAGGTCCTGGCAGCAGACTGACAGGTTCCCGGTGAAGTCAAGGAAGTGGATTCTGGCTTCAGTACAGTAGAGATTGCTGAACAAAGTAACTCCCTGCATCCAAAGCTTCTGTGCTGTAAGCCCCCCTGTGACTCCCTGTATCCAAAGCTTCCATGTTGTATGTAACTCCGTTTCCTGCTGATGTAGCCCTTTTTCCCTTTAAAAACTCTCCCTAAGAAAGATCGGGGCCTCACTCCTTCCTCTGCTGTGCTGGTTGGTTGGATGGGGTCCCTGTCGCGGCTTGTACTCCTGAATAAACCTTGCTTTTGCAGTTCGGTGTGATCGACACTCTGGGGGTCTCTGCAGGGATCTAATGATCTGGGCACAGCATACTTTTTGGTACCCAGCAGTTGAATTATTAATAAAGACCCTCCACGACATTGAGAAACTGAGGACTGGATGTCTTCAATGCTGAACATGATCCAAAGAAAAATTGATTCCAATTGTTCTCAAGCTTTTGAAAACATGGATATTATCCCAGACTCCTTTTATGAGGCCAGCATCACCTAATTCTAAAACCAGAAAAAGATACAATAAGGAAAGATAATTATAGAGCAATGTCTGATGAATATAGATGCAAAAGTCCTCAACAAAGTACGATATAATTAAATCCAACAATGTATCAGCAAGAATGTGCATCAGGACCAAGTCAAATTTATTCCTGGCATGCAGGAATCATTCAA